CGATTTCATCATGTGCCACATTCTCCAGAGAAAACAGTGGCATCAAGTGGATAGTTGTGATGTAGAAAACACAGCCAAGATCCAATTATCATTGCCAGCGCATGAACAGGCTATTATGCGTAATACTTTGACTGGAGCTTTTGCGAGCACAGACATGATGAAACATTGGTGTGAGGATTCGCATCTTAAGTGTCACAAATGCCCGCAAGCCGAAGCAACCATGAACCACATTCTACATGAATGTGATGCAACGGCAGATGTCCGGGAGCTGTGGAAAGAATGGTACTCCACTTTGTCAAATGAGCAGAAATCCCTTATGCATTTTCCGTGCATGCCTGCCAGCCCGTACCAAGGACGTGTAAATAAACTCAGGCAAGCCATGGAATGGCCTGTCACCAATCTGCATTTGCTTCCCGGGGACAGGCACGTGTTCTACACGGACGGGTCTTGCACTGTCACTGCGGGACATCTTGAAAGACATGCAGCTTGGGCCATCGTTGTCGATAAATGCCACTTGGATGAAAGTCGTGTCCATTTCATGCAAGAATGGCATAGAAATGACTTTGTGGTACCCAACAGCTTTCAGGTATGCCAGAGTGGACATGTGCCAGGTAAACAAACCATCAACCGAGCGGAGCTATTTGCATTACTCATGATTGCCGAAGGCGTACAAAGAGCTTCAAGTCATTAAGCGCAAGTCTGAATGCAGCCAATGTGTGTTTAAACTCTGGCCTTGGTACGATGCTTGGCCTGCCGGGCCGGTCCCAATCGTAGATTGGCTCAAAGCTATTTCCTCCATGGCTCCAAGGGACTTGGGCTCCTGTAGCCAGTGTGAAATCAAGCCACAGTTCGAAATAGGTCACATCTGACTTGCTGTCTTCTGGATTTGCCTGCGGCCACTTGAGTGTACTTACCCACTTCTGTAAAAAATACATGTACTCACATCCCCAGAAAAGATACTGTTCCCTGTCTAGTGGAATGATCGGAACTTGCCACTCCATGCATGTTTCTAGTTCCACTTGTAGGGCGACTTTAGCAGCAGTAAGTGAAATTTGCATTCCTCGTCTTGTCGAGGTAATGCTTGATCTCTTTCTGCCGCACTGGGTCTACATTGCAACCAGCTTTTTGTGGCTTGCGCCACAAACTGCATGCACAAGCGAGTATGTATTTTCTGAGTGTCAAGGAAATTTCGGTGCAGTTGAACGATCTGAAGTTCTTGCGCATTTTCAAGCTTCTTTCGTGCCTCCTTGGCCGCATGGTCGGCCAAAGCGTTACCCATGGCATGGTATCTGTCCAAATCATGGTGGATGTCTTGTATGTCTTGGTGCGCACAAATTTTGTGAATTTGTATGTCCAACGGAGTTTCCTGGCATCGGCAGCACAAACGAACCAAAATATCCATGTTTTTGGAGTCGATCCCGTGTGGCCCTGTGAGGAAGTCAAGCGTGCGCAATCCTTGGGTAGGGCTTTCGGCTAGGAAGCAAGTGTTGGGCTTTCTATGAGGCCACAAATGCAGAGTGGGCCCATCCTTGTAGAAGTAATCGAAAGACACAAAGCATCGCAGGCTAGAAACATCAAAAAGTTTCAAAACAATGCCTGATACTTCCGATGTGACACCTTGGATCAGCTTGGACAGACAATTCGTGCATGAGCCGTTACAATGTGCTGCGAAGAAAGTGGCTTTTAGGAACTGGTGCAAAAGGCGCCGCGTGAAGTGAATTGGTCCATTTTGTGCATGAGCCGTTACGATGTGCTACTAAGAAAGTGGCAGATGAGAATTCGTGCCGAAGGCACCACTTTGAGTGATTTGGGTCTTTCTGTGTTTCGTTTTGCGGGGGTTTCGGGTGACTGTGGTCACCGTGACTTTTCGGCCAAAGGCCTTCGTTTCTGTCTTATAGGCGACATGGATTGGGCATGCATCACAAGAGGGTGCAGGTCTGCAATGGAGAAAAAAAATGAGTGGGCGGACGATTTGAGCAGAAATCGCCTTGGGCGCTTCGCCCACCGCCCTGCCGATCGCGTGCGTTTCAGCCCTGCCAGCCTTGCACAGGCTGGAAAAGGCATCACACTCTGCCCCGCAGCAGCGCCGTGGCGCCCAGAACATCTGGCCGCAGCCACCGGGCATGTGTAACACATGGCTTAACGAGCCAACTAGCTTTAGAAAGCCAGTGTGGCCTCCGGCCACCGCGCGCACTTGTCTTCCATTGGCAGCGCTCGCTTTTCCGCAGCCAGAAGACCTGGCTGCGATGGCAGAGTTTGCGCTCAAACTCCAAGCATCAGGAAAATGGACTGATGAAAGCCGTTGCATTAAGGTATCAGCAATGCCCTCGCGTTGCCTGTCCCTGTGCTTCGTTCCGCCGCAGGTGCAACCCCGCACTGAAGAGGGGGACTTTGCGCCTTGGCCTCAATCGCCTGTTTCCGGGGTTGCGGGAACATCTTGCCCCTTGTCCTAGGTGCACCGCCGTGCCCTAGGAAAGTGCCACCTTCCCAAGCAACCCGGTAAAAACGGTGTGCGCCTTGCTGTCGGCTTTTGGGTTCTGGGTTCTTTGTGGTTTGAGGCTAGGAGCAGTGCGCGGGACCTTTAACGCTAAGGGTTTTCTTTTCCCTTGTGTTTTATAGGTCGGGGGTGAATCTCCTACGCCGCCGCCGTTTGGTGCTCCTAGCCCTCAAACTCACGTTTAGGACTCGCAGTCCTGGTTTCGTTTGAAACCCACCCACCCAACCCTTCTAAGCCCTAAGCTTGCTTAGGCCTACTGGACAGTCCTCCAAGCTTGGAGCTCGCCGGACAAGAACTGGGAGCGCACTCTCAGCTTCATACCGGGGCCCAGACCCGCGGTCTGGCCCTGTTGGCGTCTTTGGACCCGCAGGTCCTTTGATGCGGGCGTGGGCACGCGTGCCACGCCCCCCTTTGGCATTTTAACGCAAGGACACGCTTGTCTTGCAACATTGTTTTTCACAAGGGGGGAACATCTTGCACCTTGTCCTAGGTGCACCGCAGTGCCCTAGGAAAGTGCCACCTTCCCAAGCAACCCGGTAAAAAAGGTGTGCGCCTTGCTGTCGGCTTTTGGGTTCTGGGTTCTTTGTGGTTTGAGGCTAGGAGCAGTGCGCGGGACCTTTAACAGTGATTTTGCATTTTTCGAAAGTCAGTCCGGGGCTTTCTGAATTGACTGTAGAGGGTCACTGGAAGTTGGCGAAATTGCTCCAGGCACTCCGGTTTCCAACAGTGGCAACAATGCCATGTCTGAATTCTGGAACGCGTGTCCAAGGGCTTGCAGCAGGCTAAGGCAACACGGCTCCTGGGTTGGTGCCAGCTGTCGGGTGGCGTGGCATTTAAGGCTTTGAATGCCAGCACGCCACGTTCGATGCCTTCTTCCGGCAAAAGGGGCACTTTGGGCGTGCCTGGGCAATGTGTGCAACCATGCGGGTCATGGCGTTTAAATCCACTGCCTGGTACAAGGAGTTTGTGGCCGCTCCGTCACACACACACACTCACACACATGCAGGCGGTGCACGTGGAGGCTGGGCTCACGCCAAGCCTGCGGTGCGTAGTGCTCTGGCAGCGGCAGGGGAGTGGATTCACTTTCTGACGCTGAGACCCTGTGTGCTCCAACTTTGGCAACTGCGGTGGCCAGCGAGGCGGGGTACTTGGCTGTGAGCGTGCTGGCCCAGACACCGTCCATTTTAACTCCGGCAAAGCTGGGGTGCGGCTTGCTGTGGCCACAGCAAACTCCATTGGAGTTGCTGGCAAATGCATGTCCAAGTTGGCTGGCATGCGTCCAGCCAAGCAATGTGGGCATGGCACTGCTGCAGCGTTGCAAAATTTTCGGACTCCAGCCATGCCATGGACGCGGGTGGTTGTTCCAAAATGGCAATGCCGCCTCTTGCCACAAGTGCTTCGAAGATGGCGCGGCCTCGAGCGTGTGTTTCGCGGCTGTCCTTGACCCGTTGCAGCAAGTGTGGCGGCAGGTTTGGCACACCCTGCAAAAACTTGGGTGTGCGCAGTTGTACTCTTTGCAGGGCGGTGCAAACATTGCGAATTTTATAGGTCCAGACCATACGAGTTTTAACAAGGCGTCAAAAGTAGGGTCATGCAGAATGTTGTGCAAGGCGTTGCCATCCAGATCGACCGGTTCGAAGCATGCTTTTCCACACAGGCGCATTGCGGCAGTCGCTGGATGTTTGCGGCCTGCAAACACATCTAGGAAAACACCCAGCAGCGCTGTTTCGCTACATGGCTGTGCACGTGCATTGCCAGTCCGGCCTCCGGCTGGCTCGGACCCTGTCAGGTGTGGTTGCCGGGATCCTTGGCCGGGTGGCCTTCTGGCAACCTGGCACGGCGCATACGTGGGCAAACTTGCCGTGCTCTTTGGCCTGGACACTGCACCCAATCGTTACTGTGAGCGCAATCTTTTTGGGGGCTCCTTTGCCTCGGCCTTCGCATGCGGCTGCTGCGGCGCTGGCGGCGCGTGTGCGGTGCGGTGTAGGAGGCGGTGGCGGTTGGCGATTTAGCTCCACATGATACTCAATGTTTCAGCAGGGGGTTAAGTCAGCCTTCTCATAGCTGAAGCCGTGCACCGCAGCGCACCGCTCCGCATCAGTTCTGCGACTCCAAGAAAAGGGGGAGCGAAATCCAAACGGGTTGTGTTGTTTGGGTTGGAGCAGTGCATGTTTCCCTATAACATGAGGGCGGGTAGCTTTTCAGGAGCAGTCCTGTGGAATTTTGCAACCACGTCACTGAGTGTACACGCGTTTTTGAATGCAACGTGTCTTCTGATGTGGGTTCCAGAAAGGCAACGCTCCTTTCCCCTTCATGCTTTTCGCGTTCTCAATGGATCAAGTTCCGCACGACCATGGTTGTCGAGAAGCGCACGCTTGTTGGCAACGCAAGCCGAATAATGCTTGGCATCAGGCCCGGGCAACAGCTTCCATGTTGCCTCAATTAAACCAACCCCTTTTGACACCTCCCCGAAATGCCAGCCCAATCTCTGCAAGTCACTTTCAAGAAATGGATCGATTGTTTTGCCATGAATGGTCGAGCAGCCCGCGCGCTGCGAGAGGCTTCACTTCTTGACTGCACGTGAGCTCACCAAAGGTGTCTTCATGTTTTTTGCACCTCCAGATTGTCTTATTGGAACCCACCAAAGCGATCTAAATTCTCCATGTTTTCAAATGGAAACAACCCAAAAGTGAACCTTTGAAGGGGAGCCAGACCCCCGAAGAAGGCTGGTGTCTTTTGCAGTTTTCCTTTGTCAACCCAACAGGCCCCTCACGTGTTGGCTTCACGTCAGGGCACCCCCTACAAGGTCGGGGTTACGCGGCAACCTCAGCTGCGCCTCAGATGTCAGGGTCCCTCCCAACATGCACAGGCCTTATCAAAACAAGTGGTGCGAAAGTGCAAGCGTTGCTATCACTGCTCCGACATTTCCTGTTTAACCGCCAGTTCAAAGATATGGTTATGCAAGGATGATCACGGAAGTACATGTCTTTTTGTGGCTGTGGCTTCGCGGGTGTCTGAAACGGGGGATCCTAAAACGGCTGGAAAAGGCATGGCTTAGTGTCCAAATTTGTTTTGTTTGTCTCAGGCGCGTCCAGTTCCTTTTGTGTCCATCCTAACAACATGAGCCAACCAAAAGGCACTCAGCTTGAATGGCAACCAGAGGTGATGATATACACCCACCCTGCCACCAACAAACATGGAACTGCAAAGGCAATTCCAGAGTTCTGCGGGGCAGGTGACATTATGAACAGAGAGACAGGCATCCATGCGAGAGCCAGAGGAGAGAGAGGAATTGAGAACGGAGAACAAGGAACGAGCTTGCTCATGCTGGGGGTCCGTGCCCGATCAGCTAAAGGAGATTCCTCTGAAAATGCCTTCTCTTTTCGGCGAATCTGTGGATTGCCCAAGCTTCCAGGGCTTGCTTGCCTTCAAATCAGGGACCCGCCAATCCTCCCCAAAGATCTTTCAAGGCTTCAGGGTCAACAAGCCGCATTAAGATAAAATAAGGCCAGACGATGCTACATTATATAAAAGCGTCACCGGTTCCCAAATTCAATTCAATGAAGACGGCCACACTTCCCCCCCCCCCCGCCCACCAGACAGACCAAACCACCCGCGCACTTGATGCAGTCGGGAAAGGCTATACGTGAAGCCCAAAGATGGCGGCACAGTTCCGAAGGATTGGTTGGAGAAGGCCATCTTTCAGGCATGGGTGGGTGGGTTTGGGGCTGGTTTCGGTCATGTCTCACTCCCCGAAGGTCATTTTGCAGGAACATGCGTGCTACCTTCCCGCATTGCGGTCTGGGGTTCTGGCGGAAACCAATGCAGGTTTGAGTTTACAGGGTGTACCGCAACAAGCCTTGGGGTTTAAGCCAAATGCCCTTTGGATCAGGCCTAAAGTAAAGGAGGCCTTCCGGCGCAGGCCCCCTTTGCAGACTTCGGGGAAATTTTCCGCGCTGACGTCTCCGAGCGCGTGGCTCAGTCGCTTCTGGATGTCTTTGTGGCAGTGCCATCCCAAGACCCGTTGGGGGTGGTAGGGATGGACATCTACCCCAGGGAATTCGGACAACCTTCATTTCTGGTCATGCAAGTTTCGCGGGATTTTCAGTGCCATCATCAGTCTGATCATGCCAAGCAGCTGCAATATCAGAATAGCCATTTTGATCACTGGCACATGTGCATTCGAAGCACCCAGGACGCAAAGATGCGCATATGTGGAGTACAAGGACGACATTAAATACAATGTTCGGGTATGGACGTTGGAGTTTACGGAGGTTACAACGGGAACGAAACCGCATTATGCTCTGATTTCGATTCTGGTGCGTGCAAGCCAAGACTCACAACAGGGACTTGTGTACACCTAGGCAAAAACCGCCTGTGTTTGTTGGGTGCGCTATTCAAGGCGCTGCCAACGTTGCGAGGATCCTCGGGAAGGGCCTCGATGGCAAAAAGATTTCGGGCAAAGAGGCCATGTGCTGCACCCGCCGGAAAGCTTTGTCCGGTCCTGGAAAGGTGAGTTTTCCAACTTGAGAAGCAAACTTGTGTGAGTGTGGATTGTTTCTTTGTTTCTTTCTTTCTTTCTTTCTTTCTTTCTTTCTTTCTTTCTTTGTTTGTTTGTTTGTTTGTTTGTTTGTTTGTTTGTCGGTTTGCTTGCTTGTTTGTTTCGAAGGCGCTTTTGGTTTGGCTTGAGAGACAATGTAAGACATGGACTCGCGCTCGTTGCGATGTACACAACGACCAGAATCTCTGCATTGACTGGAATAGAACATGAAATGGCGGAAACCCTAACTCGTGGCCGGAGTGGCACTGGGCCAAAGCAGATTTTCGTTTTCTGAGGGTTTCGGCAGGTATCGGTGGTGCTGGCTTCAACTCCAGTGCGGAGCCCACAGCCAGGACAGGAACTGGATGGATGCAATCCGCGCTTGCCATTTGTATTTTTGTTGTTTTTTTGTCATAGTCCCCAACAAGGAACCCTTATAATTTGGTTGCTGAAGGGGCTGGTGATAATCCCTGCAGGGCTGTGGCACGTATGAGGTTGGGTCAAATTATCAAATGTTCCCAAGTCTTTTTTTTTTAATCTTTCCTCATGTCTGGGTTTGCCGTCTTTGGCATCATTGGTTCGAACACATGCAGGTTTTTGACACCTCCTTGCCACTGCTTTTTGGGGTTCCGGAACATGTCTCCAAAATTACAAGTTCAGCGACTCGAAAGTGATTCACGAGAAGGCTCTTAGTCAACGAATCCGTTTGGGAACCCGGTCCAAGTTAGGCGTCTGCATGGAGGGGTTCGAGACCAAGAGGAGTGTGTTTTCCGCTCGGAAAGGACAGATGCGCGTTCACGTCGCACCATCTCGGGTTGTTTGGCCGAGTCCTGTGCTCGTGCAGTGCAAGGCAGGGCTGGTTGCAAGAGTCGTTGAAACAACTCAATTTTGGCCCCTTAAAAAGGGGAACCAAACAGGAGGTTGTTGAAACAGCAGACATCGCCAGTGGATCCCAGTTGGCCCTATAGCAGGCAAGTTATTTTTCTTACATCTTTTCAAGGGTGGTTCCCTTGGTTACCTACGATACAGGTAATGGATCCACGAGGAGTTGTTTAAACTGGAGCTTGAATCCCCCATTCCTGGAAGGTTCCCAGCAACCAGCTGGAATCACAAGGAGAGACTCCAGTGCTGGTTCCGCTGGATGCTGGTGCAATGCGCCAGCGCAATCTGCGCCCGAAGAGCGTTATTGAGCACAAGCAGAATCTTGGCTTGAATGGACCGCTGTTCTGGTTAGCCCTTGATAGTCTGGAGATTTGAACCTCTGGCAGGGAAACCACAATCCAAATCACAAATTTCCAGCAGTTTCCGCGGGTGGGGTGGGGTGGGGTGGGGTGGCTGGGGGGGGGGGTCAGTTTGTTTTTCATGCACATTGTTCTGCGCGCAATCTATTTTGGCTTAAGTTCATTTTTTTCACGCAACAGCGTAGCTTTGCCGCTAGATCCCAAAAAGCCATGGCTGCCTTTGCTCGTCTACAGGGAATCACTTCAGAGAGAAACCAATCCAGGACAAGTCCTAGGTTCCTCAACCATCAAGATTAGACATTTCCTTGCCTGCTCAGAAATAGATCCAGGGCCACACGTGAAACTGTCGAGTGTCGGTGTCGGCCCAAAATCGTGGTAGCGGAGAAGGTTTTTCTGACCAAAGGACCTCAGATGCAGAAGCTTTCGAGGCCTATGCTGCTGGCGGCAGACAAGCCGGAAGCACGGAGGAACAGACTTTCTGGCGAATCGCTCATGAATCGAGATACTAGACGACAACAGATCTTGTTGAAGGAATGAATTATTTCAAGAGCACATTCAAGGGGTGCTTCCTACTTCATGACGGAAGCCGCCAATGTGTATCTCAACCGCAGGAAACAACAACGAGCTCCAGTTGCGCTTGCGTGCCAGGGGAAGTTGGCCCCAGAACTGCCCCCGATGTCCTATGTGAGTAGTCGGTCATATCCATATACGTTTTCCGTGCTTAATTTCTGGGATATGAAACTGATTGACTGCAATGCTTCCAGAATGTTTGCACGTGTTCCGCGAAGAATGGCGCATGGCCCAAAAGTATGGCACCAAGCCCACAGGCCAATGATGACATTTTTTCAGGGAGCTCACACACACATTGGCAATCATGTGAAAGTCGCCTAGCAATATTTGGCGGAAGGATGAGGAAATGACCTCCTCATCTGTCGACACACAACAGGGTGAAGACGTCCGGCGAGTTACAGCGAGAGGGAGGCACGCAACGCTACGTGCAGGATTGAGAGAGCTTAGCAGGATCTCGATGCTGAGGCGCGAGCAGTATCTTCAGATGCATGCTGACGTCAGCGCCTGAGGGGCTTCTAGTCTGGGGGTGATCCTAAGCGCAGACACGCATCCGCTTGTGTCTGATGCCCGCAAGGTAGACCAGCAAACAAGTGCCACAGAGCACACAGCAGCGTCTGTCCTCAACATGACAATTCTAGGCGCAGGAGCCGGGAAGGTGAAGAGTGCAGAAGAGCAGGGGGGATGTTGCTCGCAGGCAATCACGGATAACCTGCCGAAATTCGGGGATGCTAAGGCACAAGTACGTCCAGATCTTCAAGTCACCCTTTGAATCATGATAAGCGCAAGTGGATTGAATGTGCTCGCAGACAATTCTTCATCAGAGCAGCAGGCGCAGCGGTTGACAAATAGCCAGTGGCTGTTTCGTAAAAAGGCGTCGAACTTTTTGATTGCTTTGCTTCACGAGAAGCGCTCACCTGAAGTACTTCGGACACTGCGATGAGATTGTCGTCATTGAGGAAAAGGTTCTCAGACCCAGTCATGGCACTTCAAGATGATGCCTTCAACTAGAATGCGAACCATGCCCGTCAAGCACCGGAAAGTTTACAGCAGTGGTTACCGAGAAGCGGCAACAACTTCTTGACTCTGGAAGAGACGAAGTTGAGGCCCAACGAACACGTCACAAGCCAAGGTCACCACGTGAAAAGAGTGTCGCGTCGAGCCCGCTGCCACGCTCAAGTCTATCACATCACACGGTCTTCGCAAAGAAGCGCCTTTCGACAGAACATTTCCCAATTGCATGTTGACATGCGTTTCTCCGACTGGATGAAGACCGGGGCGCAGAGATCGGAACGCTGTCGAGACAAGAGTCGCAAACTTCAACAAAATGTTTGCATGCCCCTCCAAGATTACAAGATCTCTCCGACAAAGCGCGAGATGTTGATAATTGGACGACCCAATTTGTGCTGGCGCCCTCCGCGAATGGTACGAGAGGCGCCGCGGCAACTCGAAGGGACAGTCGCAACAAAAACCAGTCCGGAGTGATTGGCAACAGCGGCGCTCGATACAGACTTGTATTGACACGATGTCTCCCTTTGTGAGCTTCATCAACTGAAATCAGGCGAGCGTGTCCGTTTCACTCCGCCGCAGGCACTTAAAAGCGTTGGCTGTCTACGAATCAGAGCATGTCCGAAACTCAAGAAAAGGAGCCTGTGCGTAAGTAATTAGAGTCTGAAGGTCAAAAGAAATTTGTGTTTGTTTTGCTGTGTTTTGCCAGTAGCGACTTATGCCACGTTTTAGCTCGAGGCTTTTCATGTTTGTACGCTACTCACTTTTCTTCTGCGGGAAGACATATGCCACTGCCGCTTAGACCCGTAAATCATCTTCTTTGGTCGCATCCCCTTGGCAGTTCCCAAGCAAGGGGTTGACATGCTGAGGCTGTCCTGCTCGGACTTCAAATGTGGCCGGCGAGTGAAACTGGACACCCGGCCTTCTAAGCAGAGTGCGCAGATGCAACTTCAGCCGAAGGCTTGGAAGGATGGCGGCGCTTCGGTCATTGTTGCTCGGCTGCAATTTGGGACCTTGGGCCCTGACTCCGAACTTTGAAAATTAAGTTTTGTTTAGTGGGATCTCCTGTGCCCTTTCATTTCGTTCCACGCTGATTTGTAGGTGTCCGCTGTTTGTGGGCAGAACCTTATTTTCATGTTTTTCCCCAACAGTGTGGTGCAGGTCAGGTGTAAGGTTCAAGGAAGGTTCTGGAGGTTCGGGATGGTTGGAGGTTTCGGGGTGGTCTGACGCAGGCCAGGTGTAAGGTCCGGAGGTTCGGGTGGTTGGGGTTCAAGGAAGGTTCCGGAGGTTTTGGGGTGATCAAGAAAAGTTCGAAAGATCTAAGATGAACTAATACAGAGCTAAGGCCAGGTGTAAGGTTCAAGGAAGGTTCCGGAGGTTCCGGGGTGTAAGGTTCAAGCAAGGTTCTGCAGGTTCCGGGGTGGTCTGGTGCAGGTGTAAGGTTCTAGGCAGGTTTTGGAGGTGGTCTGTGCAGGCCAGGGCCAGGTGTAAGTTGCGGGCAGGTGGAAGGTTTAAGGAAGGTTCCGGAGGTTCAGGTCTTGCAGGCTGTAAGGTTCAAGGAATTTCCGGTCTGGTGCAGGCCACCAGGTGTAAGGTCAAAGCTTTCCCACTCAACCGCCAGACCACCCCGGAACTTCCTTGAACCTTACCCCTGGCCTGCACCAGACCATCCTCGAACCTTACACCTGCACCAGACCACCCCGGAACCTCCTCAGATAGGCTCCGGGGTGGTCCGGGGCGGCCCTGTAAGGTTCCACGAGGGTTTCAGGGTTCCACCAACCAGACGAGACGAGGTTCTGCGAGGGCTGCGGGGTGGTGCAAGCACAAAAAACAGCACCGCATGCTGTTGAGCTTAGTTTTGTTCGAGTTGGTACGCTTTTTAGGAGTGCTTCAGGGTACTGAAAGCAAAGCAGGGCTCACTTTGCAAGTTCCAAATCCCATTAGACAGATAGATCCATTTGCCGGAACCTGTAAACACTTGGCGGGGCCAAGGGTCATAAAAGGGGTTTCTCGTGCCCATCTTTGTATGGCGTTGCACATTTGCTTTTGGGCCAATCTCTCTCAACTGAGGGTTTTTGGCTGCTGGAAGTTTCAGGGGTTGTACATAGTTGTATGGGTGCGTTAGTTTTGGTGGTGTGATTTTCGAGGTTCCGTATCGGCAAACCAAAGGAAGCAGCAATGTTGTTCGTTGTGGGGGAGGAGGGGCTATGCCCATTGTTGAAAAATGTACTTCTGATGTCCTGGTCCATATTGCTCGAATCTTTTGTCCAACTATGGAGTGGACAGCCAATGCGACATTGAAAGCAAGTCACAAGCACGACCGCTTTCCAGTGAAGGCAACCTTTAGCAAACGGGGGGGGGAAACAAAAAACAGGAGCGCAGAACAGATGGTGCGCAAAGAAAGAAGAAGACCATGAAAACAAAAAATAAACGCCCAAAGAAGTCGAGACCTCATTCCGCTCCTTGAGGTTTGCTTGGTTTCCTTGAACCCGGAGCTGGGCAAAAGCGTTTGGCGCCTGCTGGGCCACGCGGAGGTGGCGCTGTGCAAGGTCAGCCCCGCGGAGTTGCAGCTGTTGGAGGACGCTGCGAAATTTGCGGGGGGCCGCGCTTTCCGATTTCCAGGTTCTGGGTTCCTATTTGGGTACCTATTTCTGGGTACCTATCTTTGCTATCTTCGGGTGCCTGTTTTTGGATGCCAATTTTTGACCCACAGCCATCTGACCTTTTGGTCTCAGCCCTTTCTGGGCGAAAATCCTTGGTCCGAAAGGTGGTGGTTTCTGTCAAGTCACAAGAAGCCAACTCCAAAAATCGCACAAACACACTCACTGACACGCATTTTTAGTGGCTCCAGGTCATCGCCTTCATGCTTCCAGGTCCCCTTTAACCCTTGGGGGCAACTGAGTCCTAGGCATCCTGAAGAAAGCCCTCAGGTTGGAAAGGGAAACCACGAAGGCCGAAATCCAGTTTTTGCCCAAATCCCCGATTCGACACACAGCCATTGTGCGGGTTCTCAGAATTGAATAATCCTCTATAACCAAGCCATCTTGTGTTTTCCTTGGGGTTCCCGAAGCTCTGGTCTCCAAAAAACCTCAAACCTTGTTCGCATGCAAAAGGATGCACTTCACGAAGCTGTTAGGGGGGGGCAAAAAAAGTCTTGCCAACCCCTCAATTGATTCCCTGCTGAGGACAAAGGAGACCAGCGTCAGTTTCCATTTCTTGCCCAAAAGGGGCCGGGTTGTTTTCGTCCATCCGGTTTTGGGCCCTCTTTTGAGACCCATTTGGGTTTGTTGCATGTAGGCGGTTTTCACTTCGCTTCCTGTGCTTCCCATTTTAAGCTAACAACTGTAGAACCATAGACAATGAGTACCTGATAGTGGAAGTGAATGAGGACATGGCTGGGTTCTCCAAGTGCAGCCTGGGTTATAAGTTAAAACACACCGCGCTGAGTTGGTTGACCCCGTCCCTCCCTTGAAGTCCCTTAAAGCCAGGCTGAAAAGGGTATTCCAACACACACACACACACCCATATATGACCTATACGGGAAAGGGAACCCCCTTATTCTGGGCGAGATATGTAGTTGTTGCTCCCTTACAACAGGTGTTCATGCCTGTGTAAGGCTGTTAGCAACCTTATTAAACTGAACGTGGCAAACTAGAAACAGGTCCCTTAGTGGCCATAAAACCAACAGTGGCTACCAACACCCGGGCAGAACCTTTGCAAAAGCCAATCGAAATGTGGTAAAGGGACCACTTTCCTTACACAACAAAATAATAGTCCACCATTTTCCCAAAGAGGTGTTATTTGAGGTTCGAAGAGGCTGTTGGAGAACATGTTTGCTTATGATTTTGGGTAAGGAAGTTTGGCTTCCTTGTGAACCTGGTTATGACCTAGGTTGGAGCATTTCCCAGATATAGTGATTAAGTAGCGGGGATGATTCGGAGTCACGGAGATGTCTATTTTCCACAGCGCTGTTTTTTCTTTCAAAAAAGAGCAGATGCCACACTGCCGGAGGACGTGGGTCGCGAGCTGAAGAGGTGGGCCGTCCACTTGCACCACGGCGCCTGGGCGCCGAAAATGGGCGAAGAAAACAGTCAGAAATGCTTCTGATAATTCTTCAAGAAATCCAAATGGAGATTGTACAGTTCTTGCTTAGGACATAGCCCAGTGCTTTTTCTGAGTTGGTACTCTTTCCGGGTTGGTTCCAAGCCAGAAGAATCCCATCCCCAATTCTTAATACTTACATCTAATTTGCGCCTTATGGACTTTCTCTTGTTCTCTCTCTCTCTCTCTGTTTTTCTTTCTTTTTTTCTTTCTTTCTTTGTTTCTTTCTTGGATTATTTTTTCTTTTTCTCTCTCTCTCTCTCTCTCTTTCTCTCTCTCTTTCTTTCTTTCTTTCTTTCTTTCTTTCTTTCTTGCTTTTTCTTTTGCTGTTTCTCGCTCTCTCTCTCTCTCTCTCTCTCTCTCTCTCTCTCTCTTTCTTCTATTATTTATTCTTTCTTCCTTATGTTTTCTTCTTGCGCCTGCCAAAATCTGCACCGGGCCTTCTGAAAGTGGCCTTCCGAAAAGTGCTGCGCCTGCCACGCGTGTTTTCTTGCATCATCCTTGCGCAGGGCTACCTTTCAATAAATCTCCGCAACACGGAAGTTCCAGCAAAACTTCCTTTGATAGTCTTGGTCGCTCCTCGGTCTTGAGCGGAAATTCCTCGCCGCCTACGTTTGCTGACAGAGATTTCCGAAAGCAACTCGCGTTTAACATTTGACCTTCACGAGGAGGGTTCCAACATGCAACACGTGGATTCACTTTCTTTCGGTGAGTTGGACCGAGGTTCATGCGGGGCCCCGCAGGCCCCGCATGATGCAAAAGAGGCGGTTGGAATGATCCAGCAAGTGAAAGCAGAGATTTCGGACGAGATGCTGAAGCTGAGGGTTGGTTTGAGTGAGGGCGCGCGCATTACCTTGCAAGAGATGGAGCAGACATGGGCACTAGAGCCAGAACCGCGGATCCAAAATTGCAGGGACGTGTCTTGCATGCTGGATGGCTTTCCGACGCTGGAGTTTTGTGCAGAGGAGGATGCTACGCCTGTGCAAGGTGCGTGGTCCATGGTATCCATGAAGGTTTGTGATCTATTCCTGCAGCTACAAAAGATATACGCGGACGCATTGATCAAAGTTAGTCCATCAGAGGCAAGTTTGCTGCGGGTTGTTGTTTTTGCCTTTCATAGTTTTTTTTGTTGGGGGGGGGGTTGTAAGTTGCAACCAACCACTGCATGTACTCAAAGGGGGACCAACTGTTTCTAGGGCGTGCCCTTTGATGCTGGGGTGGGCTCAGGCATACTTGGCTTGCCTTTGGTGGGCACTCAGCAACGTTTTTGTTTCGGGCATTGGCTTAGGCCTAATTAAAAGCTAAAACGAGCTAAATAAAAAGGCTCCTTTCCTTGGTCATCTTGGTCCAATTCTTCCTTCATCTTTTGGACTTATAGTAGAAATTGAGAAGAATGGACCCTTCGCCAGGCAGAGGTGTTGGAGTTTCTTGCGCCGGTGAGGGCGGAGCTGGATGCCTGGGCCGCGAGTTTGGCGCTGGTCCAGCGCCCGAGTCTTGACCAGCGCACCCTTTGATAGGACCCCGGATGCCAACTCATCGCCAGAGAACCGAGTGGAAACCCAACGTAAATATTCCCCACCGGTTTGTGGTTGGTTTGCTTGCAATACGATGGTTACGATATGTGGCTTCTGATTCGATTCCCCAAAGTAAATACCAGAAGCAGGGGTCTCAACCCATGGTTTCAAAGTGGTGCGAACGGATTTCGGGCATCCCCCTAAAATTGCAGATTTCCCGGGTTTTTCCCTTTACTTGGCTTTCGAGTTGTTTCAAAATAGTGGCCGGGGTCCTCGAAAATTGTCAGAACCGGAAAAATCAAAACCAACAACGGCAGTGGCAACATCCAGTTTTCTTGAGGTTTCCACCAAGAGGGGTGCATTTTGAGAAGCCCGATTCGGCGAAGGGCTTTCTTTCCTACAAGATCAACCAACAGAAATGGTTTTCCAATGAAACTCCACTGGGCTGAGGCACGATCCGACTTGTACAGCGCAGAAAGTCGTCAGAGCCTCATGGCGGGAAATCGTGACTCAAATGCAGGCAGGGTTGGTTGCAAATGTTGCCCCGAAGGGAAACCAAAAGGGCTGGTCCAACCCATGCAGGAGCTTCTGCCAGGCCGAATGACCAACGCGGCCAAGGTATTGCTTGAAGGTTATCCAAAGCGACCCGCGGGACATGTTGCCCGCACGCTCAGCGGCTTTCCATCCCTCGAGCTGCCAAGCTGCTTCAGGGTCCCCGGCGAGCCTCAGACGCTCAATCAGAAAATGAAGCGCATGGTCTCCCAGGAGTTATGCGCACTTTTCCTGCAGCTGCAGCAGACGTACAACCCAGGTTGCGTGATTCAGGCTTACCCTGTAGAAGAAGCAGTTCTGGAATTTGCCAGCCGAGTCGGGCAGGAGCTGACAGCTTGGGCTGACTACCTGCAGAAAGCGTCTGACTTGCCAGCCTCAGATGTTGATGTGGCAGCTGCAGTTGACCTGGTTGTTGGGGTGCAACAGAGGATTTGGGCAGACATTCAGAGTTTGACCCAGACGGGATCCTTCAGCAATGCGGCAAAGGTGTTGCTTGAAGGCTGTCCAAAGCGCGCAATAGGCCCCGTTGCCCTCACTCTCAGCGGTTTCCCGCCCCTTGAGATGCCAAGCTGCTTCATGGTACCCGGCGAGCCTCAGACGCTCAGTCAGAAAGTCCAACGCACGGTCTCCCAGGAGTTGATTGATCTTTTGCTGCAGCTACAGGAGATGTACAAGGGCTGTTTGGTCCGGCCCACAGAGGAGGAAGCAAGCTTGTTAGATTACGCAGCCCAGATCGTTCGCGAGCTTTCTGGCTGCTCGCGGCTCCCGAGCGATGTGCACGGTGTTGACTTCGTCAAGGTTTCGGCGGACATGGCTTCAGGGGCGCGGAGGCAGATTTGGAGGGAGATTGCCACTTGGTTGCTTTAGAGAGTCCCCAGCAAACAAGCTGAACTTTTTGGAGGGGGTTCAGTACCAAGGTGAAGCGTGACTCCACGAACGCTGCGAAGGTCCTATTCAACCGCCAAGAACTTCACTCAGAGTCGGAGTCGGAGCCGCCAGTTGTGTACCACAAAGGCACCTCGGTGGGTGGCTTTCCGGTGTTCCTCTTCCCCTTCGAAACTGAGAAGCCCTCGAAGGGGGCTCTGCAACAAGTGCGGCTTGCAGCCTCGCAGCACGTGCAGTCAGAGTTCGGCGCCCTGGCGAGGAAATCGGACTTGAAGTGCATCCAGGCACGCAGTCGCCGCTGTTTGTTCATGGACTGTGTTGAACTAGTGGGTGAACAAGTGTCATGAGATGGTATCATGAGGGTGCACTCAAGGACATGGAGCCCGTGTTTCTCGCATGGGCGCGAATTACAGTCGCGAGAAGCCTGGTCTACGCCAGAATTGCTTCCTTCAATTTGCACTTTCACCGAGTTCTTGCGGCTTGCTTTCATTTTGCCGGCAGTCTGTCAGATGCATGTTGCCTTGTGGTATCTTGCTCGCTTGCACAGATTTTCTGGTCTTTCTCATGATTGGCACCATAACCCATGTGCGTGTGTGTGTGTGTGGCCTATGCTATGTGCATGTGTCCAGGGCCTTTGCATTTGCTTCGCAGACTTCCGGCATAAGCCGCAGAGCAAGCGCAGGCCGCAACGCATGAGTCCGTGGTTGCTCACACGCTCCGGTCGGACCTGACAGAGAGCTGCAGAATGGAAGTTGACCAGGACCGGGCGACGGTATGCTAAATTTTGATCATTTTGCAAGGGGCTTGGCCCCCATTAGTGTGTGAAACGCTGCTCGCGCATCCACACTATTCCATGAGTGTAATGGCCACAATCCTCATAAAATCGGTCCTACCACCCCCACACGCAAACAGGCTCCTGTTTTGGCCCGTTCAGTCTTCAAGTGTTCCACCGCCTGTGAAATGAGGACGACCATGGCTTGGCGCCGATGGACGACATTTTGGTGGGAGATGGCTTCGATGGCTGGAATCGGGTCAAGGGCTTGGGCCCCGTTCTGACGGTCTATGCACTGAAAGAGCCCGGCCAGGAACGCCTGCGGTGGGTTTCTTGGGTTTTGGATTGCCGCTTTGAATGGCGCTACCGGTGATACCCTTGACCTCTTTCAAAACTGACAAAGAAAGGGACTTGCCTCTGGTATCCCAGAACCGGGTTGTTTAAAAACTGCTTAGTTCTTGTGCCAGATGGCAGTCTAGGGACGACGACTTAGGATTACGGATCTCAGTTTCAACAACTCTTTTTTCTTTTGTATTTGTTGCGAGACTTAGCTACTTAACTAACCTTTGAGCGTTTCTATCCTTTCACCTGCTCACTTTTGCAGTCCTGGTATATCAGTTGCCTGCCCATATGTAGCCAGAAAGCCCACCAAACGGTGAAAAGGGCTGAACAAGTGGGTTATGGATCCACCCACAAACATTGCCAGACTCTCAGACTTTTTGAAACCTTTATGAGGTTTTCTCCATTTCCACCGGCACAAAGTTCACCCTTGCATCCACCTTTTGCGTCCTCCATCGCGTCGACCCGGAAGGTTCTGAGATTCCCGACCAGCCAACCACAGAAACCAATATTTTTTCCTCCGCACATTGGATGTCCAAGCACCAATCCACAGTCTTTTTTGGGATTGCAGAGCTTGCTGCAATCCCAACCGATCAAAGTCCCGAAAAATTGGACTTGCAGGCATCCTCTGGATACGCTTCTTTTTTTTTCCCATTGCAAACTCTCTCATGATGCGCTTTTTGCCCCACGAAAAACACGCCCCACCGACCCACCCCACCCGCACCGAGCCGCAGGAAGGGCTCCAGCTGCGGCACTTGGCATGTGGCCCAGTGGTGCTCGCAGAGAAGGCCACCAGCGGGCGCCTTGGCATGGGCCGCGGTGTTTCTCGGGTTCGGGTTGAAGTCCTTTTTGTTTTCTTCTCCTTCTTTTTTCTCCTCTTTTTTTTTTGCTCTTTGTTTTCTTCTTTTTTTCTTCTTTTTACAAGAAGCCTTTGCAGCTTGTTGTAAGAAGCCTTTGTAGCTTCCTTGCCCGTCAGAAGCCTTTGTAGCTTGCTTGCCCGTGCTTGATATTATCAGTTATGATTCTTTTGGTTTCATTATTATTATGATCATTATCTTCATAATTTTTGTTATTATTATTATTATTACTATTGTTATTATTATTATTATTATTACTATTACTATTATTATTATTATTATTATTATTATTATTATTATTATTATTATTATTAGTATTATTATTATTATTATTGTTATGTTTATTATTATTATTATTATTATTATTATTATTATTATTATTATTGGCATCATTGTGTGTCTTTTTTTAGTTTTCAATTTCATACAGGGGGGCTGCAAAGAGCAGAGTGTTTGCTTGCATACCACTGTTTTGAAAAGCATATCTCCCCAGACCCTCTGAAACGTTTCCTTTCGACTCTTGGAGGGTTTCCCGAATTTCGCAGGGAAACAAGGAGAACTTTGCAACTTGCAATAGCAAGCCTTGGCGCGATACTTATCCGCCGTGCCGCAATTGCATTTCTGGAGCTCTGGGGCCTACCCCCCAAGAAAGGTTCCTACCTTTTTAAGATGCTTTGCTGGGAGTTGCGGGCCCTTTGGTTTCCTCCTAGATAGGAAGGGCCATGGGAAGTTTTGAGTGTGAGGATGACCTACAACTTCATTCGAAATGTGGAGTTCTTTGACGAAGATGCGGAGGAGGAAAACCTGGCTGCGTTCTTTCGCAGCGTGAAGGTGAAGCTCCCAGCTGACCCGTTGGAGCGAAAGGAGGCCCTCTGAGAATGCTTGTCCAAGGTTTCTCAACATGAAGGGACTCCCAAACTCGGCGGTTTTCTTTTGATTTTCTCCGGAAACCAACAACAAGGGTTCCCCAAAACGACAGACCCGTCTTCGTTCCTAGCATATTGTTGAAGTGATCAGATGGATCTCATGTCCAATCTGACCAGGCTGTTGGTTCGACCTGTTTGGGTCCCTGCTTCACGCTGTCGTTTTGTCTGGGGTACTCACAATCAATCAATTCTTAGTGGTGTTTTCCCTTGTTATAGTGGTGTCCCACTACAGATGACGCATTGGGATAAGGATCTATGCTTTCAGCACGATGCCCCCCCCTCCAGGTTTTTGGTGCTTTCTTCCCAGATAGCCGAAAGCTATAGGGGTTCTAACTTCGAATCAAGAGGGGAAATTGATTTGCGAGATTGCCGGCTGGGTGCTAAGGGTGCCGTTTGGGGTGCTGGCGCACGTGCTAATTTTTGGGACGCTGTTTAAGATTGATGCAGGGTGCTAGGGGGCATGCAGTTTGGGCCGGAAGCGATGGGCGCGCGCGCGTTCTTGCGAGATTGACGGCGGAGTTTGGGGTGCTGGTGCAGGTGCTGGAGTTTGTGATTGATGGCAAGGTGCTGGGGCCGCTGGGCGGCGTGCAGTTTGGGGATTTTTGCGCAGGTGCTGTTGTAGTTTTTGCTTCCCCTGAAACGCAACCCTTGCGCTCTAGCTCACCGCGCAGCGCTAGGCGCTGCTGAAACTCTACACGTCAGAGGCAGTCTACCGTAAGCTCAACCAGGCTGGGATGTTCAAAATCAAGCCTTCGCCCTTGTGCCGCGTGGTGCACGTTTTCCCTCGAAGTGGTGTCCCACTATAGACAGGTTACGCAGCGATTGGAGGTCTCCCCCCCATTTTTTTTGCTGCACACGAGGCGATGTACCAAGATGACGCAGAAGGACTTAGGCGATTTGCGCCGTACATTCGGGCTTTGCGTGGGGTTTTCAAGCGCGGGCAGAACAACCTATTGCCGGGCTTCAACTTTTTCATTGGCTCAAAGAATCATCTTCGTCGAGGATGCAACCTCACGAAGGAACACGCCGAAGTCTACCAAATCAACCAGAAAGTTTGCTGGCCAGCCTTCACTTCCACCAGCGAGGCGGACAAGGGCGGACAGTTTGGTTGCTTGCAGTTTCATGTTCGCTGCCGGGACAGCATGGAAGATCCAAACGAATCGGAGGGGTACTTCCCAGCATCTATCGCACCGTGGTCTCACTACAAGACTGAAGTGTTGATGCCTCCTCATTTCATGTTGCGGGTCCACAATATCAACTACAACGACTCGCCTGACGACACCAAGCAATGGGTCATTGAGCTAGAGCTCGCTGATTTGGTTCCGGTCTGGGACATCATCGCCCAGAGGAACTGGCAACAGTTCAACGCCTGGGCCCAAGCGAACCCCGACTTGCTGGACACCTCGAAATCCCGGCGCTCCATCATCAACGCAGTGGCGAGCAGCCTGGCTGCCGAGCAAGAGAACGAGACCGGCGTGGATCCTTTGGAGGTCTGTTTTCATCATGGCGCCCGGCCCAACGAGATTGACATGCAGACTGGAAACACGCCGCTGACGACAATCGCGCTACAATGCGTGGAGAGTGGGAAGACAGAACAGGCCTTGGCTGTGATTGACTCCCTTCTTTTGGCCGGCGCAAATCCGTACATCAAGGCTGGCCCGCACCACCAGAAGTCCCTCGAGCAGCTCATGCCGGGGGTTGATTTGCGACTTTCGAATTATGCGATGGGTTGGCAGTACTGGTTTGATGATGGCTGGTATCCTTGGTCTGAGGACGGGTCGGCCAAGTTGGAGCATGCTTTCCAAGTGTGGCTGGATGGTGGACATGCGGGCAGGAGCAAGCTGCTGGCCGTTCGGAGCGAGCACTTCTCATACGACGTGGACTTCCTCAACATGAAGCAAGCCAACTCTTCAACTGGAACGAGGCGAAAGATCCGGAGATACCGCCAAAGGCGACGCTCCGTCCTTTTGTCGCATGATCAACTTCTGGCTGATTCCGAGGCAAAGCTCAGGCAAGAGCTGATGCTTGGCGTGTTTTTTGGGGCCAGGCAACGATTTTTTCTTCAGAGCCTTTGGGGTTGGACGCGTAGTTGTAAACTGATGTTGTTGGAGGCCGACTGCCTTCGAGGCATGAGGCACAGCCAGGAAATGCGAGTTAGATGTATCGTGTGGTCTCAACATGATTTCATGTTGGGCCGTGTTGAGACGAAATCCGACTTCTTTGAGGGGCTGGCCATTACTTAGCCATGCTGCCATGCTAGTTGTTTCTACCTGAGCTTGCCGCCTCGATGACTCTGTGTTGCTTGGCACGTGAGTCAGTGTCACGAACGTTTCCTTTTTGCCATCTACTGTGCTGCATCTCTCAAAGTCATCGTCAGGACACTTCTGCAGAAGCTCCTGATGCGAGCAGCCGTGGATGCAGTGCAACAAGCCGCGTGCCGTTTGCAAGATGCCATTGCCGCGGGCATGTTGTCGGGCTTGTCGCAGATGCTTGACGCTGAAGCACCGGCCTCTGCGGCTGAAATCGCCGCAGCCAGCAGTGAGCTTGAGAAGCTCGTGCTGGGAGACTTCGACGATAAAGCCAAAGAGGCGGAGGAAGCCAAGGCGAGAGCAGGGTTATGCAAACTTTGTTTAGCCAGCCCCCGTTCCATCCTGGCCCCCTCTAAGAGGAAAACAACAGAAGCAGAGGTGTTTAAACTTTGGTTGATTCACTGGTCAAGGAATCTCTCTATTCCCTGAAGGTGAGTCTTCGGAACCTGCGGGAGGCTTGCGACCTGAACTGGGACACTCGAGAAAAGGTGAGAGAAGTGGTCAGGCATCTGCAGGATGACCCCCATGTGAAGCTGGCAGACGATTTGATCGAGGGAGCTGAAGCGTTTGCGACGAGCAACACTGTGTTCCAGAGAAAAGGGATTACTCACGCAGGATTTCGTGCCAGCCTATCTTGGGAGAGTGGTGACAAACCGACAGACTTGGATATGTACATGGTTTGCCCGAAGTGCAATGTGGAGGTTTATTTCAGCAAAAAAGAGTGTGGGTGCAACACAGATGAGCTCTGCAGGCTAAACCTGGACGTTGACAACCTGGGGAGCTGTGAGAGTAGATCAGAGGAGAACCTGTACATGCAACTGCCGCATCCAGGTAGATACAAACTCCAAGTAGAGCTCTTCTCTGGGCCGGCTGTTCCCTTCCGGGTGCAAGTTCACCGATCCGGGCAGGCGCTCAGAGTCTACCGTGTTGCGCCTCACACTGAGGAAAAACAAGATGGAAGGATCGTTATTTTCGAGGCAAGTGCAGATGCTGAAGGCATCATGCGCCTCGAGTCTGGCCTTCAACATTTGGATGTAATGTTGAGCGCTGATTAACACAGCCCCGGGAAAACGCGGGCTCCATGCGTGACAACGAATGGACTCCACACGAGTCAACTTGTTCGAATGGCTGAGTGGCCCCCCGACCAATTCGAGCCGAATTCCGCAATCACTTTGCACATCATCATGCCAGTGCCTAGCCGTCGTGCGAGTCACGCTTGTGATTTTGTCACAATGCTTCCTGCGTCGACAGGATGTTGCTGCCACAAAATGTGCTCACACACACACAGTGTCTCTCACCCTCTCACACACACACACAAACACCATCATGATGAGACCGGCTGCGTCAGTGTTTTGACTTTTTTGAGGCAACGCCAACCAAGAGAAACAATAAACGAAAGTCAAGTAGTTGCGGCAAGCAGAACGTCATATGTGCTGACTACTTGAGTAATGCTTTGGCAGAAGGACAGCAGTGTGCAGTGAATAGTAATACCTGCTTCATAACAAAGCAATCAACATGCTGGACTTCTTTGCTTGCCTTGAATCGGGGGAGGGTCCGTCACCACAATGTTGCTCGAGAAACGAAGACCCAGCACAGAGTCAGGATCGAGACACGCCAAACCCCCAGTTTTCAAGCTGTTTTCCCGTTTAAGCATCACCTTGGGGTGGGTCTTCAATAAGGGATATCTCCCCCCCTCCCCTTACCCCCTATGGAGGCCCGTGAGGGTTTGGGCGGTCGGCGTGCTAGGGCTTGTTCGGCCGCCCGATGTCCAGATGTCCCGGTCCTTTCCCATCTGGTTTGGGGGGCTCGAGAATTTCTAACGAACAAAGCAGGCTGTGCCCCACCTACTTCCCTACAGTGCCCATCGATTCTTTGTGGGGCAGAATCAAAACGTCCCAATGTGGACGGATGGAGCTCAACACCCGGTGTGGGTTGGGCTTTGAACACCCGGGAACCTCCTCATATTAGTCCCCTGTTGTGAAAATCTCTCTCTGTCTCTCTCTCTCTCTCTGCCCAACACGATCCACTTAATCCGACTGGTTTGGTCTACGGGTCTGATTCCGGTGCCATGGCTATTTCAAGTCAAGGCTCCTTCAGGTGCCATTGAACCACGCCCCAAGCCCGCGGCTTTTGGCTTCAAGGGCACAATGCGGGGTTGCAGAAGCCGAGTCTCAAGTTCGTGCCAGTTGAGTGGGTGTACCATTCTCATTTTGTGTATATATATATAGATATATACATTTTTTCTATGATACACACACACACATATATATATATATATGTATATATGGTCGCCCACTATGAACTTCCTGTTGCTGTGCTGTGAAACATAACACTGTGTGTTTGACTGGTTTTTGTCGCAAGAACGATGTTTAAAGCACGTGCATTTGCGCATCACCCCAATTGTGAGAACTTAGCCAAACCCTCAGTTTTGCCAAATTTCTATTATTGGTATGAAGAACACGGTTTATAGACGATGAAGCACAAAAATAAAAACACAACATCCATAAGGCCAACAACACAAAACACAAAGCTCCGTTGACCAAAGATCTTTTTTTTAGTTTCTCAAGTGTATTGTTCGCATCTTTGGTTGTTTTTTGAGTAAACACCAATACAACTGGACGGCTTTTTGGTTTTTTTTTCATTCTTGAGGGAAAACCGCGTTGCCAAACGTTTTAGGTTTTTGGTTTCTCGAGTTTTTTTTTGGTTTTCCACGGGTCTTTGAGTTGAGAGACTGCCAAAGAACTTCATGTTTTTGGTTGTCTCGTGTTTTTGTTGTGGTGTGTGGTTTTCAATAAAACAAAAACACAACACAATTGAGTTTTCGTTTTGTATTCAAACCAAAGAAACTGAGAAAACCTCGAAACAAGAAACAACCAAACAAGCTAAACCTTTGGCACCACCAACACTATTCCTGAAAGTCTTTTTTGTCTGGTTTCTGGAGGTGTTTTTGGTTTTCGCGGTTTCCCTCAATAATTTCCAAGAGCCCAACAACCATTGCAAATTTTGTTCTTACTCAAGAAATGTTAACGTAAACTGAGGAAAACACACACACACACACACACACACGACACACACACACACACAAAACCCCGCGCAAAGCCAAATGGTGTTGAATTCCTTTTTGACATCGCAAATCTAGTTCACTGGTTACACCCCTTCACTGTGGCTCCAAGATGGTTCAATCATCGCAGTGCCAAACTTGCCCAAAACATGGATCAGATAAACAAGAAAACAGGAAAAACACAAGCAAGCAACAACTCAGATGACACGTTTTGAAGCGTCAGATACAGCTCTGTTTAAGGCTCTCCTTGGTGAAACCGGTCCTTAATGAACAGGCTTCATACAAGGCTCACGCTTCCCTATAAAGCTGCCTGCAAATATCTTTTTTTTTTTTTTTTTTTTTTTTTTTTTTTTATAAAGCTAACTTGTTAAGCTGCTTAAAAGAGTTCTTATGAAACTCCCCATAGAGCTTTTATAAAGCTTCGTATAAAGCTCCTTGCACGACTATTTTTTGAGGGAGAATGCATATATATATATATATATCTATATATATATATATATATTTATGTATATATTTGCACATTTATGCCCTTTTTGGGTTGCCAATGGGAAGTCCCACTCAGACCGTTGAACAGGGCACCCCAACTTCTGCCAAGTCCACCATAACTCTTAGGATATGGGGTTCTTACCTTCCACAGCTGCACCCTGAAATGATTTTCGGCTTCGAAGTCTGGCTCCTTGATGTTTCGAACTCTTCGAGGAATAGGGCGCTTTTGCTAATTCCTCATGTCGGAGAGTCATGGAATGCCATGGAAATGGAAAGGCTCGAGCTGGGAGTTGGGAGTCTCTCTTTTTTCACAGAGCCCGCTTTTGACATTTGGGGGTGGTTTTCAAGAGAACTCAAAGCAGACCAACCAGGATGAGGGTTCCCTCATCTTATGACCCATATGGACCAGAATCATTTTTTTGATGTTTGGGACAAAGCTCGTGAATGCAATTGGAGTTTCCTTGCATCCCGAAAGGCGGATTGGAACCCAGGCTTGGTTTCAAGCGGTTCGACCGTTTGTTTTTGAGGGGCAACACGCGCGATTTTGTCCTGTAGGTTCTGAATACTTGGGGGTCCAATCCTTGCTTCATGCCAAATGCGAAAATCGGAGATGGAGCCCCTTATTGGGATCATGAAGCCATGCTTGTCTGAATTGTATCAAGGGAAACAGTACATCAGGCGAACAGATTCCATGCACAGTCGGTTCGGACACTGTGATGACCTGCTTGAGAGCTTTGACTTTTGTGTGGCTTGTGTCTTGCATCGCATTCTTAGGACTTGGGATCCGGACGAATAAGCCCCGGATTGATTTTGATCCGGGGGGTGTGATGCGTTCTGCTTGATCCGGGGTCCTTAGGATGTGCCAGGAGCAAGCGATACTGCTCGGTGCAGCTTCGGCAGCAAAACTGTGGGAGGCGGGTCGGTTTAGGTTGAACTCAAGGGGAAACCCAGAGAAGTTCCTGAGCAGTCAAACCCGCTGGAGGGACAAGGAGACGGTGCGGAAGGCCAAGACTTGCCGCTCTTTCGATTATTTGCCGTCAGTTTTGGGTGCACCCCTCTTACCCGCTTCAGTTGACAGGTTTTGACTATGAATCAGACCCCGTTTTGATACCCCCTGTTCTTGATCAGGGGTTCTGGTTGAAAGGAATTCTGGCAATTAGGACTTGAGGCCAGGGTCCGAGTCAGCTCCCTTAAGACGCCCGCTTCTTTCCTTGGGCTCTAGTCAATTCCGATCGCTCGGGAGAGCAGTCGGACTTCGTCAGAACGGGGTCCACGCCCCCCTAGCGGGGAAAGTTCGCCATGGAAAGCCCCAAAAAAGGGGGTGTGGCCATGAGACAATGAGACACCCATCGGAGAAACCAAGGCACATCTCGGAAAATTCTTGCCTTCCGGACCGGATTCCGATTCTTTTTAGAATCGGCCAAGCTTGGGGGTTGGTTCCCTTTGCCTGGCGGCAAGTTTTGGTTTTGAAGGGCCGTCTTTTTGTAGGGGACCCCCCCAAAACAAAAAGGTTGTGCTTTTGATATCCCTAGGTGGGAATTTACGCCCACCAACCCCTTTTGAGGGTTCTCCACAATTTTCATGGCCGAAGGAGAAAGGGCAACACACAACACGAAACACGCGCAACACCCTGTACCCCGAACGTGGAAAGCCACAATGAAACTTGCATGTTAGAGGTACTGTCACCTCTGTCGGAGCAGCTTCTGGAGGAAGACGTGATTTCTACTCAGGGTGCAGTTCTTGCGACGCTTCTCTCCCGGAAAGGCCGTTTGTGCACGCCAAAAGAGGATGGCTGAAGCGGTTAGTATGTGCTATTCCTTTTTTGGAAGTACTAGTGAAGTTTCAGCACGGAACTTCAGGAATCAATGCCACTTTTTGGGTGTTGGCGGTTTTTGTGGCGTGCGCCTTTGATCAAAAGGCCATACCTTTGACGTACGTCAAAGTTTTTTTTTTCTCGCTGGTCCATTTGAAATTGGAAGCAGGAGGGGGAAAATCGGTGGACGCACCAGTTGGAAATGGTGGTTTATCAAGAGTTCATCTATCCTAGGTGCGAATGTCCATCCAGCATCTCCTTTTTTAAACCCTTCAAGCCCGTTTGATTGTCCCGGCTTGTCTAGACAAAGCCCCCTTCCGACATTTCTGGATGGCCTTGTTGTTTCAGGGTATCCTTTTCTGTTTCGCCAAAGGGAAGCTGCCCCTTTCGAAGGTTGTCCCGGACCCAAATGGCCTCGTGACTGCCCAAGGTCTGCGACTGCCCGAGGTCCTCGCGCGCGCTGAGTCAAAAAAGCCAGCGGACAAAAAGGGACTGGATGGATCGCAAGGGGCCGGAAAGAAGGGGTTGCGTATGTGACAGGTTTGGTCGGAATTTCCCAGTAGACTGTGACCCATGCGACTCACTAAATGTTCAGGGGACTCCCTGTTGTTCCCATGTCCTTTGCGGGAAACATTCCTAGTTTTGACCGTGACTCATGTCTTGGTGAGGTGAGTAACCCAAGGCCATTCCTTCTTCTACAGTACATGACCATAGAGATTGCCTATGGCTCGCATTGTGTTTGTCTGGTTTGGCGAACGTCGCGCGCGCTGCGCTTCGGATCTTCGCAACTTGCGCCGACGTCGCCACGCCCGCGCGACACGTCGCTCGCCGACTCGACTCGCGGCGCGACTCGTGCAGTGGCCGAGTCGAAAACGGTGGCGGATTTCCGGCGATCTCAACTTGGTGCCTCAGTTTGTGCTCATACCGTGAATGTGGATGGATAAAGTCCAATTCGT